GTAGTGCACGCCTGTAGTTCCAGCTACTTGGATGGCTGAGGCGGAAGGATCACCGGAGTCCAGCAGGTCCAGGCTGCGGTGGCCAGGGGCGGCCACTGCACTCCAGTCTGGGTGACAGAGTGAGACTCCAATTCAAAAAAAAAAAAAAGAACAGCAAAAAACAGCCTTTCCCTTCACTTAGAAGGGGATTTGGATGGGAGGGTCCAAATCTCCACTGTCCAAACACAAAACCTAGAGCACAACACCAACACAAAAATCAAAATGTATCCAGAATAAAGGTACACTCAAGGTCAAGGTGAATTTTAAGGAATATGTATCTGATCTTTTAGTAAAAATGGCCCCACTCCAGCATTTTTAAAAGGCAGATGTTTTTGTTTCTATTTCATTTCCCAAAGGGGTATACAATCTACTGAAAGCGTAAATTAAAAAAAAAATCTACTGAAGCTGGGCTCGGTGGCTCAGCCTGTAATCCCGCGCCTTGGGATGCTGAGGTGAATGGATTGTCTGAGTTCAAGACCCACCTGGGCAACTTGGCGAGACCTCATCTCTACAATAAACCAAAAAATTAGCTGGGTGTGGTAGCGTGTGCCTGTAGTTCCGGCTGCTTGGAAGGCTGGGCGGAAGGATCACTGGAGCCCAGCAGGTCAAGGCTGTGGTGGCCGGGAGTGGCCATTGCACTCCAGTTTGGGCGACAGAGTGAGACTCCAACTCAAAAAAAAAAAAAAAAAAAAAAAATCTTCTGAAAGAGATATAATGAATCAAAATAAATTGGCTCACTCACAAGCAACATTCCTGGGTAATGATTTTTGGTCACTGAGACTATCAGCCCATCATCTCAAAGTGGTGAAATTCAGGATAATCTGAGAAAAGAGAATTCAAAAGTGGCAGCTGAAGGTTTATGTAGGAAACACACACATACGACCCCCACCTTCTTCAGTGTACATGTCAAGAGGCCAAGACCCCTGATCATCAAAATAAGTTATTTTGTACATTACAATGCATAGGACAACAGAGGGAAAGGCACTTTCATGGAGGGTAACTGAAGGCATTTTGCAAAGGTCCACCACTCTGAGCAGAAGGACTGGAGCCCAATGTTGCCTTCATTAACTTGACCCCTTCTCTTTTTTGGTTGCAGTGGACTCAGTGGGAGCCGTTTCTTGTATACGTTCTACTGGCTTCTCCTCCTCCTCCCCCTCACTATCTTGGGGATAGAGGTCAGGGGATTTCTGCATGCATTCTTGCATGGCCCGAAACTGGCCTACACAGTCTGATCCCTTGACATCCTCTGTGCTATAGTAGAAGCAGGAAAAGGCTGACTTGAACTGTGGCTCACAGGGGCCGATGGCCATTCCAAGACCCGGGCAATTCCAGTTAATGTCTCCATCCGGCAGTATCAATCCATGCTCCTCATATGGGTCAATGGGGTCATCAGCCACCACCTCTGCATTGCTTGGAGTTTTGTGGTCTTCTTTGTCACAAATATGATTCTATCCTTCCCTTCCTCACGGCAGTAGGACATGGCTGTGGGCCCATGCTCGGACCTCACAGAAGTGGCAGCAGCGGCTGCAGCTTCTTGCTATACTACTTGCTATTTTGTTTTCTCTTTTATGATAACATAGCTTCACCACAGGATCCCAGGGACCTGGGATGGTCTATTTTCTGGCATTTCTCAAGGTCTACAGGAGTCCTATTTCTTGTTAATTTGTTGCTTTTTGTCTGATCCTGTTGGACACATGGAACTTCCTAGAGATTCGGTTCTGTAAGTGGTGCTACCATAAATAATTCCGTATAATTTCAAAAGTATTTTTGTTTATTCATTCATTTTCTAGTATGTGTTGGGTTCCTACAGTGTGCCAGGCACTGCCAGGTTTAAGGTTCAACACTGAATAGGAGAGTCTCTGCTGTCAATGAGCTTAAAGTCTAACAGGGAAGACTGGCAGGAAATCAGACAACTACAGTGCTGTTGGGTCAAATGCAGGGGGTGATGGGACCGCTGTGGGGGCACTACCCCAGCTCAGAGCTAACTGGTTTATAGCTCTTTGGACATAGTACCAGAAGGCTCAGTAATGTGAATGCTGGGCGAGATTTTCTTTCATTCAAACATTTTAGTGAGTGTATTTTCATTTCTAGATGTTCTGTTTTGGTTCTTTTCAAATATGCCTGCTTCCCCCACCCTCCCCCCCAAACGTCCTCTTCTTTTTTCTAGTACTTCCTATTCTTTATCTTTATCTTTATTTGAAAACTGCATTTTTCCCTTTAAGGTTTTCTCCAGATGACTCCTCCATTATCTCTGGTTCCTGGGGGTACTAATCCTGCTTTGCCTGTTCACTCTGTGGAAAGTGTGCTTAAGTGGTTTGCAATTTTTTTTTTTAGGACATTTCCCCCTTCTACCCGGTGAGTTCCGGGTTGTAGAAATATAGCTACAGTGCAGTTTTATATTTGCTTCTGCTTAGTACCCTAGGGTCCAACTGGTTTAACTGGTTTTCCTTTTTTTTTTTTTTGAGTTGGAGTCTCACTCTGTTTCCCAGATGAGTGCAGCGGCAAGCTCCCAGCCACCGCAGCCTTGACCTGCTGGGCTCTGGTAATCCTTCCGCCTCAGCTTTCCAAGTAGCCGGAACTACAGGCATGTGCTACCATGCCCAGCTAATTTTTGATTTATTGTAGAGACGAGGTCTCACCAAGTTGCCTGAGTGGGTCTCAAACCCGCGGGCTCAGGCAATCCACTCGCCTCGGCCTCCCAAAGTGCTGGGATTACAGGCTGAGCCACGGAGCCCAGCCCGGTTTTCCTTTATTTGCTTGGGGAAATTGCTCCATCACTTAGAAACAATGTACTGAACATTTACAATATGTATAGTCCCATATTTGGTGATGTGGAAGATAGACAATAATGCAAGACAATACAATGTGGCTGCCTTACACGGGACCACAGTCTGAAAGGGCCAAATACAATATAAACAAGACGTTAGGTGACCATGTAAGGGCAGAGTAAAAGGCTTAACAGTGAACAATCAAGTTCAGAAGGAAAAACAGACAGCTGGAGAAAAAAGGGAAGGAAAAGCCCAGAGAAGGAAAAGGTTTGTGTAAGGAAGTTTCAGAAGGAAAGAAAAGGAAACCACACACCCTTCCACCCTTCCTCTCAGCTGGAAATCTACCACCTCTTCTGGGTGAAGAATTGTTCTGGAACCATGAACTTGACTTTCAGGTCTCTCCTGAGAAAGCTAAATCAGAATCCAGGCAGAAGGAAGTCATTTAAAGCACTCCTTGGGGAAGGGTGGGAGGTTTGATGAAAGTTGTGTTTGATGGAGAAAGTAGCACGTTGAAAGTTCTGTTTGATGGAGAAAACAGCTCGCTGAAAGAGCTAGGGAGCTGTGCTATGCAAGTGATTTCGCCTAGACAAGCCTGGATGGAGGGGGGGAGGGAGTCTGGCATGTTTTGAACGTGGACACTGCATCCAGTGTTTGCTGTCAGGAGTGGTAACAGGAAAGGCAGCTTTTTAGCACAGACTGGGAAGGACAGACTGTGGGGAACCTTGACTAATAGGAAAAGCGATCAGAAGGCAGATAGATGTCTATTATAAAGAAATGTGGAGGTGGGGGGGCACGGTGGCTCACACCTATAATCCCAGCACCATGGGAGGCCAAGGTGAGAGGACTGCCTGAGCCCATGGGTTTGAGACCAGCCTGGGCAAGTTGATGAGACCTCATCTCTACAATAAATAAAAAAACAACAACACAAAAATGAGCCTGGCCTGGTGGTACATGCCTGTAGTTCCAGCTGTTTGGAAGGCTGAGGAGGAAGGGTTGCCTGAGCACAGCAGGTCGAGGCTATGGTGGTTGAGAGTGTGGCACTGCCATCCAGTCTGGGTGACAGGGTGAAACTCCAACTCAAAAACTCATGCCTGTAATCCCAGTACTTTGGGAGGCTGAGGTGAGAAGATTGCCTAAGCCCAGGGTTCTAGACCAGCCCAGGCAACTTGGTGAACCCTTGTCTCTACCATAAAAAATAAAAATAATAAAAAAGCCGGGTGTGATGGCGCGCGCCTGTGGTTCCAACTACTTGGAAGGCCGAGGCAGAAGGATCACCTGAGCCTGGCAGGTTGAGGCTGCGGTAGCCATGGGCAACAGAGTGAGATTCCGATTCATTAAAAACAAAAACAAAAAAACAAAAACAGGAACAGGGCACTCGCTGCCCTAAGTACCTTCCCCGCAGGATAGTTGTGAGAATTACATTAGAGTAACACTGTGAAGCGCTTTACAAAGTTTCTGGCACATAGTAACTGCAATTTTAGGGCCGGTGATTATTATTCGCTTTTACTCTGGGCGCCTGGCACAGCGCCTGCGTGTGCTCACCTGGAAGGACGATCCGGTGAGGGAGACCATCAAATACTTCCAAGCAGAACAAATTTTATAACCACGAGGGAGGAATGCGACGGCGCAACAGCGGGGGAGGGTGACCACACTCGCGGAGGGGACATCTGGACTCGGTGAGGGGGGCATTCCTGGCAAAGGGTTCGGTAAAGCGGTGAGACAAAGAGGCAGGAGGCCGCGGAGCGGGTCGGGGCTCGGGGCTCGGGGCTCCGTCTGCAGCGGGAGGGCCCCTCGCA